AATCATCCTCTATGCAAACCTGCTGGGTAACGCCACAAGGAACCCAAGAAGGGCTCCCACAGGACATACATTAACATCCCACAGCAGGGGGGGGGTTCGAGACAAGGGGTTCTGTGTAGTTTTGGTGCCTGTCCTGGATCTCACCCTGCAGACCAGGCTGGCCTCGAACTCACAGAGATCTGCCTGGCTCTGCCTCCCGAGGGCTGGTAATAAAGGTGTGAGCCACCACCCGGCAGGTTGGAAGATTTGCCTAATTACTTCATTAAGTAGGATGCTGAGCCCCATGCACTGTCTCCAGCCATTTGCCCCCTTGGAGCTGAGTTGGACCTTAGGAGAATAAAGCTGTGTCCTGCAATCCAGTCTGTGTGTGGGCTGCTTGGCCCAAAGGTGGGCAGAAGTCTGCCTTGAACACCTCCAACTCAAGGAACAGGCTGTGTGAGCTTTCTTACTCCAGACTCCAATGCTCTTCTTCCAAGGACCACCATGAGAGTGATGTCTTTGTACTGGGGTCTTCTGGGATACACTGGGAGAGCTGCCTCATGCAATGGCTGCTCTCCACTGTCCCTACCCAAGGATGTAAAGAGGAAAGAACTCACTGTTTGAGTTCTACCTGCTCAGAGTCTCTGCCTTGCCATTGATGGGTAACACACCAAAAAAGCACCATGTTCTGCTTCCCTGACCCCCAGGATTCTGAGAGCCCCATCCCTTATTCAGGACCTTTCACCCGGGGCTGTTTCACTCTTTCTCAACTCTAGAAAGGAACAATGGCTCTCCTGCCCCACACACATTAACTCTGAATGGGAGACCAGGAAACTATGGGGATTAGTCACCAGGTCTCAAACTGTAGCTTGCCCCATAGCTCTAAATGAGGGGCCCCTCTCCCTGATACTGGTGGAGTACTAGGGCACTTTTGTAGGCCTTGTGACCTTTTGTTTTGTGGCTTTGATGCTGACTTCAGGGTATGAATCAGCCTTGAGGGTGGAGTTACAAGTCAAGCTTCTGGGTCTTCCCCTTTTCTAAAGCCAGGGTCCCTGTCTTCCTGCAGGTCTCCTGTGGCTGTGGGCATTAGCACAGACCTAAGGTGGCCTCCCTAGGAAGAGCCCTTGTAGAGGTTGCTTCTAGATCAGAAATGGGTGGTTGGGCCAAAGCTCAGTCAGAACTTTACACTCCAGAAGAAAGAGCTAGAGGCACACTGGGATTGTAGGAGAGACCTTGCTCTGAAAGGTCTAGGCCATCCTTCAGGGAAAGAGGGAATTTTAGGAGTTGGAGCCTGAAGGAGTATATCCCAAGCTACTGCGAACTCACCCTGTGGCCCTGGCCAATCACTTGGCCATGGGCCCTCAGCTTCTTCCTTGGTCTGGACCATTTAATGTCCCACAGGGACCCTTCCAGCTGTGGCATTCAGGACCTTTGCCCCAGCCTCCCTGAGTGTCCGATCATGTTTTTTGTGTTTTCCATAGCTCACTTCAGTGCCAAGGAGGCTGGGGACCTATCCACACTCTTCGATGTTGGTGGCATCATAGGTGAGCCCCTGTCCTTTTGTCCTGGCAGGCTGTCTTTCCTGCTTGCTTCTTTGCAGAGGTGTAGAAAGAAGGGACAGCAGGCCATGATCTGGGCAGTGGCCCCAGAGAAGAAAGGCTCTTGGCATGTTCTCACTTGTGCTCCTGCGAGGCTGGGTGGGCCTAAGAAAGATGATCTTTGTGCTTTGGTTTCCTGGAGTGATGGGTGCGGGGGAAGGCTGCAGAGAGAGAGATGGTCTTTCTTAAGGCCAGGCCAGCACTGGGCAGGCTGATGGGACAGAACTGGGCAGCAGATGAGGAACAGGATGGTTGTGTCAGCAACAGTGTGTGAGTGAGCGTGTGTTCCAGGTGGCATCATGGCAGGGCTCATCAGTGACTACACGAACAGCAGGGCCACCACTTGCTGCATCATGCTGATTCTGGCTGCTCCCATGGTACGTTATAATCTCAGAGTGCATCCGCTGTGATCAGGTGTCTGTGCCACATACCTGTGCGTCCATCTCTACATGTGCATACATAGCTGTCTCTCTGTACATATGTGCACGTGTATTCCTGGGCACATGTGGAGAAAGAGAGGTGAGAGTCAGCAGAGGACCAGGCCCTGTGAAAAGAGGGACACCAGCTGCTCCATGTTTTGACCAAGGAACAATAAAGAGGTTGACATAAGAGAAGACTTTTTTGGGGGAAGGGGAAATTATAGAGCCATGCCTGGTGGTACATGCCCGTAATCCCAATGTCTGGGAGGTAGAGGCAGGGAGAATCAGGAGTCCAAGGCCTTCCTCAGCTACAGAGTGAGTTTCAGGACAGCCTTTGTTGCATGACACTCATCTCAAAACAAAACAACAACAACAAAAAAAAAAAAAAAAAAAAAAAAAGGGAAATTAGAGATTACATGGTTCGAAATTACATCCATTTCTGGGACAAAGACTTGAGAAGTCTGGATATACAAGGAGGGAAGTGATCTGTGGCATTCCAGAGCAGGCGGCCATTCCAGACTCTGGTCTAGCCGAGCAAGAGGAAACCAGCTTCAACTGTCTCCTTCCTCTTTCAGATGTTCCTGTACAACTACGTTGGCCAGAGTGGAATAGCCAGCTCCATAGGTGAGAGGTGGTGTGAATCACTAGAGAGGCTCTGCCTGGGGAGCTCCATGAAGTGGGTGTGAGGTCAAGGCCAGGGAGTGTTGCTTGCTCTGGCCATGGGGCTGCACCCAGCCCCTCATCTCTAAGAATACCACCTCTGCTGTCTTCCCAGTGATGTTAATTATCTGTGGGGTCCTGGTCAATGGCCCATATGCACTGATCACTACGGCGGTCTCTGCTGACCTGGTGAGTGGACTCCTGGGTATCGGGCCAGTCTGAGGACTTGGTCAGGGGCTCTGAATACAAGTCCAGTTTCCCATCTCCCGTTCTCATCTGTTGTCCTGTAGAACCTCCATGGGCTCTTTCCTTTCAACCCCAGGACCCCATCACCACCCTCCTCAAGTTAGCTTTCTCGTGATGCTACTTTTACCCAGTGGTTTTGCTCAGCGTGGGCTGTCCCGCCCTCCTCTGTCTCCCCAGGGCACACATGAGAGCCTGAAGGGTAACGCCAAGGCCCTTTCCACTGTCACGGCCATCATCGACGGCACTGGCTCTATAGGTTTGTTACTGGTTTGGGCTCCTGGCAGCTGAACCCCAGCCTTGTCTTGGGTGGACCCCTAGGTGCACTGCCCAAGGCGGTCAGGGAAGGTATGTATCCTGCTTTCATGAAACTCTTGTGTACAGGTGCGGCTCTGGGGCCCCTGCTGGCCGGGCTGATTTCCCCCACAGGCTGGAACAACGTCTTCTACATGCTCATCTCTGCCGATGTCCTGGCTTGCTTGGTAAGAGTTCTTGGGGTCTGTGGCTGGCTACTGGGGAATGTCTCCAGACGGGAACTCTGGCATAAAACATTAGGGCTTCTGGGGTGGTGAGTCAAGGGTAGCTGCCTTTTGCTCAGAATGTCTTCCTGTGGGGAACGCTGTTTTTCTCAGCCATCTGGCCTATGGATCAGCTGAGCCTGGAAGATCACAGTGTCTTCCCTTCCCTCTCTGCCCTGAACTCCCCACAGCTCCTCTGCAGGTTGGTGTACAAAGAGATCCTGGCCTGGAAGCTGTCCCGGAGCAGAAGCAGCGGGTGAGTTCCCTGGCAGTGGAAGCCCTGCTCCTAACATCACTTCTGGGACTCTACCCAATGCTCGGTCACTCTGTACTCCGTCTGTGCTGGTCCATCCTGGGCCTCAGGAACGCTTACCGAAGCAGCTCCTGGGCCTTGATGTGCTGTTGGACCCCCCTCCCACCCCAGACCTGCTGACCTTTCCCCTCTTGTCCCCGTGTGTCTCCATAGCTCTAGTCTGGCCCTAACCCACCCGAGATAGTCTTTTCCTCAAGTCCCGTGAGTTTGTGAGTATTTCCTTCAAGTCTGACTAATCCGCCATCAGAATGTGGGCTGCATGTGAATCCTCTCCTCTCCTGTGTGTGATTTCCCCGAACCCCAACCAGCTTTTTCTGTTTCCTTGGGAGCCATACCCGGAGATTCAAGCTAGTCAGAGCATGGTGCTTGGGAAGTGTCTCTCAGGGGACCTGAGATGCTACAGAGGGCTTTGGACACACCCGTAGGGCAAAGGGGGCAGAGATACAGAATCCTTTCTTCTCTGAACCGAGGCTGAGCTGCAGGTGCCTCCTAAACATCAGAAATCAAAGCCACCTGCCCCCTCTGCCCGGGGTGTGTGGAAAAAGGCAACTATGAAATCAAAGCCTCTGGAACAAATTGCAATCCAAGTGGCTGGTCCGGTGTGGTTTCTGCCTGGTGTCCAGAGGTGGTGGGTATGGAAGGCGCATAGGTCGGTGACTGAGTCGGCGCTGGCCAGAGGCTGAGGTGCTGGTGATTGGGCGACTGTCCCTGGGGCCTTTCTGGCGGTCCTTCTAGCAGAAGTATTTACTAAGAAGGAGCTGGCCAAGCCTGGACCTGGGCTGGATGGTAAAGTGAAGAACCCTGCTCTGGGGGTCTGGGAACCTGTACAGTATCTGGGGAAGTACTTCCACTTTAAGAAGGCCTCATACAAGGAGCAAAGTTGAAAGTAGGAAGCAGTACTGGACGTGGAGACGTTCACAGGGTCTGTCCTGTGTCCTGCCCTGGAGGAGGGGAACGGGGCTGGACAGTGTGACTGATCTCCTTTCACCCACATTCTGGGCTAGGCTTGAAGGGAGCCTGGAAGAGGAAGAAAAGCAGAAAGGGAGGGGAAAGTATGTAGTGAGCTGGAGTGGAGGCCAGCCTTGGCCACTGTAGCTCATCTCTCAGCCACCTTGAGGCAGGTGTTCTCATTTGAGGTGAGGAGCCGGGCCTGGCAGGATGAAGACTGAACCCGGGTTTGTGGGGATAGCTGGCTTTTGTGGGCACTGCAGCTCTCCCAGGCTGGTTTTCTGGAAGGCCCATTAAGAAATGGGCAGTGATTTCCTGGAACGGGGAGTGCTCTAGGCTGAGAACCTCAAGTCCCTGGACATTCTTGGTTTCTCTGCACACTGACCTCTAAGACCTTGGCAAACTCCTCAAAGTCTCTGCATTGTTGAACATAATGGGGATGTTTCCCTCAGACACCTGGTAGGGTTGGTCTGAGGCTCTCTGAGAAGGTGGCTTACGTGGTTTGATGCTTTGTAAAGTGGCCACATGTGGCAGAAACACTTTGTTTTCCATATTATTCTGGCTTGTTAGTGCCTGCCCAAGAAGTCAAAGGGAACCCTAATTACGGACAGCATACATGAAAGGCAGAAGCTTATTAAGTTGTGGTTCACTTTCTCTTTCATCTCTTCTGTCCTGTTCATGCAGATATAAACAAATATGAGGCCTCAATTGGAAGAGCAGCACCGAGGTCTCTGCTGGGGACCCAAAGTGCTCCCCTATGAGCAAGAGACTGGAAACTTCCATCACAAGGTGAGGCAAAGCCTCCTGATCCAACCAGTTCAGCCCAAACCCACCCTGCCACTAAGGGCACAGAAGACTATGGGAAGGGACTGCCTAGCACCAGGCCTGGGAAAATGGAAGATTTCAAGGCCTGGAGCTCAGGGAGCCACAATCAGAAGGGATAGGGCTGAAACCAGAAGGGAAGACATGTTCAGACTCTTGCTTATTTGGATTCCAAGCAAGGACCAAGGCCTGGAAAAGGTGCCTATCTCCTTCCCACGTTAAATTATAAATAATCTCTGTAATCGGCCTGTATCTATGGGGGCATCTCACCTTGCTCCAAAGGTACCGGGCCTCTCTCTGTCCCTTTGCCCATGAACTGGTCTTCATGTATTTCCCCAAGTGGGCCCCTCGTACCTGCCCTCCATTGATGCTGTTAGAACTCAGCCACTTTGAAGCGTTAGCACTGCTCTTGCAGAGCCGAGGCTAAAGTGGAGCGAGGGAGCTGCCGTGAGTGCCGGATGGAGGGGGACTCACTCCTGAGCATCCCCATCCTCAGAGTCCAGCACCCCCCACCCCGCCTCACCCTGAAGCTGCCTCAGTGGATGAAGACACTGGGGTCGGTGCTGTGAGGACTGGGGGTGTCGGGCACAACTGAAAATGCCGGTGTGTGTCAAGCACTGGGTGCTCCCTGCCTGGCAGCCCTCCTGTGGAATGAACAGGAAATGGATCCGAAAATGACTTAACACTGAGCATAGATGTCGAGTTAAGCAAGAAGCGAGTGTACCACTTGATCCATCCAAGTAACTGCTCCACTCCACGGCAGTTGCTTGGAGGCATCTTGCAGCCCGCCTCTTACCTGGTGTTCTGATGCACATGCTCCTTCCACTCTGGGTCCTAGATCATGACATGCCAGGCTGACTGCTGGCATTTCCGCCTGACTTTTAAGCTGCCCATCAGCACCAATACAGATTTGTTTTTGCCAGTGGTGGCCTGTGCTTATCCTTGGTGGGGCCTGGCATAGCAGCAGCTGTGGGGCTCATGAGGGCAGTGAAGAAGTGTTCCTGGACCAAAGAGATTGGTGTTCTGGAGCTGTGACAGCTGCATTCCCAGAGGACGTACTCATGACATTGATAACACATGCAATACAGCAGAGCCTAGATCCCCATATAAGATACAGTCATTGCATGTACTAGGAGGCTGCGTTGGTCAGTGTGTTAGCTAGACACATTGGCCTCAGCAGTAAAATATAAAGCTCGTATGCCTGATCCTCACTTTGATTCTGCAGGAAGCAGTCAGTCAGGAGCCTCTTATATTCAGGACTTGGTAGGAGACAGGGTCTGACACATGGTATTTTGCTCAGTGTTCATAAACTTTCTAGACCAGAAAGGATTTTAAACTAGTGTTCTGTGGAAGGGGCAAACTTAAGGCGAAGCTGTGTTACTTCTAAAGACCACTAGATGGTGATACCACCCCGTGATAGAGTCCAGGGTGGGCAGGTGTTGCCATTCTGTTTTAGAGAAGGAAGCCTGCGTGCTCTCCTGACTTGCAGACTCCTCCCCACCATCCCTTGAAGGTCAGTGTTGAAGGAGTGATTCTTGGAAGTCTTCTCCCTCCCAGCCTCATTACTGACTATCTTCTTCCTGTTTCCTCATCTAGAACAAGAATACCGTTCCTTGTACCGTGGCGTTGATAAGTGTAGGGAGATAAGTGTAGATCACACTCGCTGCCCATGTCTCCTTAGCAGATGAAACCTAACATGAGACTAGAAAGAATACAAGCCAAAGAGGGCATGGAGATAAGTAGTGACCTAAGTTGAGGGCTACACCGTCCATCAAGTCCAGACCTGATGGGACAGGGCCGATAGGGGTGACCCTGGTGGCTTCAGATGGGACAGCTTCTGAAGGCAGAGTTCACAGGCTTTGTATGACAAGGCAGGGAAGACAGGAGGAGCTAATAGGAATCTCGTCAAGCCTTCCTGTGTGAGGCATAAGGACCAGAGCCTGAACAAACATGCACTCCAGGCAGGCAAGAGAGACATTAGAAAGCTTTAAAAGATTTGTGGGAGCCCAGAGCAGGGCTTCAGAAGTGAGGGCTTAGGCTGCAGGTGTATGAAGAAGGCTGGGGGAAATTGCAAATGCACCCTTTTGTACTCGCCAGGCCAGGTTGTCTGCACCCCCTCTCCCCCCACCCCCCAGCTCTGGGCACAGTCTGTTCACCAGAGTCCCAGTACCTGTCTTCTCTCAGGCCTCTGCACTCACATGGGGCTAATGCAGGAACATTACGTTAATTAGTTATTCATTTAATTTAACTTCACATTTGGTCTCAATTAAGCTTAAAATGTTCTTCCTTATAGATGCTACAATAGCACGTGTAATTAAAAGGCAATAACTCTTTGTGTTTCTCCTTTAGAGATCCACTGGGAGGCTGGGCTAGTGTGTGAGAGGAGGGGTGGGGGGGAGTGCCTCTTGTAGAGATGAGCACTTGGAGGCCCCACTGAAGGTGTGAGGAGGAAACTAAACCAGACCGAGGGTGGGGAGGGTCGATGCAGGGAGCCCTGAGACCTAGAAAAAGCAACAGGCCTTGTCCATGAAGCCGTGGGAGTAAGGGGGTTTGTGGCTGTGGAAGGAGGCCATCCTTCCAGCTAGGAAATGAGGCCCTATGTTCTGTAGTAGGTATAATGCCTCCCACCCAGAATGTCTACACCCTAACTCTTAGAACCCAAGACTATAGATTAGGGACCTTGGCATGGTTTGTCAAGAGGCTCCCTGTGAATATCAGTGAGGCAGAGACGAAGAGAACGGAAGATGTTACACCGCTGGCTTTGAAGACAGAAAGAGCCCACCAGCCCTGCAATGTGGGTGACTTCTAGAGGCTGGGAAAAGCAAACAGATCCTCCCCTAGAATCTCTCTAAAGTATCAACCCTCAGCCCTGTGAGATGGTAAGGTAATACGTGTGCATTGTTCTATGCCACTTGGAGTGTGTAACGTGTTACAGCAGCAATAGGAAACTAATACACATCACTGGTGTAAAACGGGGCATGACCAACTTACAGACAGAAGCATCAGACAGCACAAGAAACCCCCAGTGCTGGGAAGCCGGCCCGGTGGGTAAAGTGTTTGCTGTGCAGGCATGAGGACCCATATTTGATCCCCAGAACCCATGCAAAAAAGCCAAGCATGGTGACAAGTTATAAGCCAGCACTTGAGAGGCAGAGACAGGCAGATCCTCGGGGCTTGTTAGCCGCCGACCAGCATAGCTTACTTAGTAAGCTCCGGGCTGGTGAGCATTTATCTCAGACAAGCAAAACCCAAGGTGGACAGCACCCGAGGAACGACACCTGAGGCTAACTTCTGACCTTCACATGCAAACATATCCACCACTTTGTGTGTGTGTGTATGTGTGTGTGTGTGTGTGTGTGTGTGTGTGTGTGTGTGTGTGTGTGTGTAATCCCCAGATTAACACAGATACAGGGGATGGCCATACAGTATCTAGTACAGCAGCAGCCATCCTTTCAGCAAACTCTGCTCCCTCTACTGGCTGTTTTACCATTTCGTATCCCTAACCGCACGGACCTGCCCAGTCAGAGCTCATCCATGACATCTTCAAGTACATTTTAACTGCTTGCCCCACACTCCTGCCCAGTTCCAGACTTCGGCTTTCCTCACCACACTTAGCTGCTGCTTCTGTGTGTTTCAAGTGGATCTGTGCTGTCTGAATCTGGTCCCCTTTGTCCTGTTCGTACGTCATGGACACGTAGTCTAATACAAGGGTGTCAGGGGCTTAAACACCGAGTCAAACTGCTTCACTTGAGTCTTGGCTCCTGCCTACCCTTTGCTGAGTGACTCCCCCAAGTCTGTGCCTGCTGTGTGGAGAGGGGGCACTAACGACCTATTTTATAGATCTGAAACATGACGGCATAAATGCCTACAGTGCACCTTGAAAAATACCTGGTGTCTTCGCTACACGGAATAAAAACTCATTTCTGCATGAATGACATGCACTTATTCCCAAGTCTGGGGTCGGGGTGCACCTACAGATTAAAAGGTTCCGTTCTATCAGCTATAAAATGTCCTCTCCAGTCCTAAATTGTCACATCCCATTCAGGATAATTGGCACATTTCCGGATTATTCTGTAGCTGAGTGTCACATCTGGCTAAGCCACAGGCTGGGCTGACGTGTTTGTCATTTGTTTTTATCAATGTTAGTACTTCAAAGGAACTTTACCCTCACAGATACGAGTTAGGGAAGGTGGGTGCAAACAGCTAACCAGTGTAAAACTCAGGAGTTACCTGAAAGCCAAAGTTGATCTTGAAACAGAGATATGAAATGCAAGGGATGCATGGGGAGTTGGTGCCAGTGCCTTGAGGGTCACTACTACCAGCTGAGAACTTTCAAACCTGTCCTCTTCTCTGCCTGTTTCTCACTTGAGAAATAACGGCACATTTCTTTACACATCAGGGTCAGACAGAAATACTTAGCTTCAGCAGCGGTGAAGTTGAGTTGATAGAAAAGTTGAGGTCTTGAAGAGCAGAACAGGAAATTGATTAATTTATTAGAGTAAAAGCATCTGAAATACCTTGGACTCCTCCATCCTGCTCCTTCCATTGCCTCACTCCATCAGCACTCACCAGTGTTAAAATGCAGAGTGCGTTCTACGGACGAAGGCAACGCTGTGTGCCCAGTGCCTGAGCACTTACTGATACAATTCCTCTAGTGGATCTTTACATTCATTATCTGAAACCCTGCGTCAGAAAGGAATCTCGTTTTTCTTCCCTTTTACTAGTGAGAGATTTAAGTTGCTTCTCAAAAATTGTTCAGTATGCTTTGCTGGTTTGAGACATTTCTGAACGATTACACAGTATCACTTAACTGGCTGGACAAACATTCCACTGTAACGGAGCTGGGAGGTCCTGCTACTGTAGCTTGTCAGGATACCATCCTGGAAGGCTTTGGAATGGCTTGTTCTCTCCTAGACTTCCTCTCCTTTTCACTTTCCAAACAGTGGGAAATCACCAGTCTTTCTGGACAGCGAACCAACAGCACGATGTGCCCTCTAGAGAGAATGGCTAACTGATACTGGGATGAGAAGGATTGGTATTTGGGGGATAACCCTACGAAAGTCTGTCTCCAGGCAGGTCCCAAACATGAGGAGGGACGCAGCAGACATCACTGTAGGGTGCCCCATGTTGACATCTCTGAAATTCATTGTTTCATTCAGCCTCCCACTTCTGGGTTTTTGTTGTTATTTGTTTTTCAAGGTTGGACAAAATTACCTTGAAATGAAAGTAATCATTTGATCTCACCATACTAGTTATTACAGATAAGAACTGTAGAAAGCAAGCTGAGCTTAAATGCTTTATATGGTGTATGTGTGCACACGTTTTTGTGTCTACATTGTATAAAGCCAGCTCTTAATATATAAGCCTCTCATCTACACCAATTTAAAAAAAAAAATGTACAGCAATGATATTTGGGGAGGAATTTAGGGTTTTTTCACCTTTACCAAGTTCCTATGTAGATAACTAAAATCTCATCGCTATTACCTACTGACTTTATATATACCTTTTATTATTGTTGTTTTGGTTTTGTAGGGTTTTTAAATATTTATTTATTCATGTATTTTATGTATATGAGTGCTCTGTCTTCATGCACACAATAAGAGGGGATCAGATCCCATTACAGATGGTTGTGAGCCACCATGAGATTGCTAGGAATTGAACTCAGGACCTCTGGAAGAGCAGCCAGTGCTCTTAACCACCAAGCCACCTCTCCAGCCCCAGTTTTGTAGGTTTTTATTTTTAAACTCAAGGACAATTTTATTAGAATTTGAAAGACAAAACTCCAGGCTAAGTAAGCTGTTGATCTCAGCAGCTGCCTGGAGGAGGAACATGCAGAAGACAAAATCTCTGCGTACCAGCATTGGTACAGGACAGGCAGCTGGCACCACGTGGCGGGGAGGGCAACGGCTGAACAGAAAGAGCAGAGAAGCCCAGACTATCAGAAAAAGCGGACTTAGGTTCTGACCAACATCTGAAAGGAAGAGGAAGAAGAAAAAGCTGCCTCTTTCTGAGTTAGTACTTAGAAAGGTAAGGGGACCTACCTAAGCATAGTATCTCGCAGAAAGGATCATTATCCCAGCTGTCTCTTTAGTATGGGTAAAGGGAACCTGCTGCCCTAGGCCTGATCCTTTGGCCAGGTGACCGACCCAGCCCAGCTGGGCTGTTAGGTCTCTACTCAGGCCAGAGATTTCACCCTCGTGACCAGAAGTTCACCCTCCATGGGCCTTCATTGCTACTCTAACACTGCTCCCTATGAAGCCGTAACCCTAAATCATTTATGAACTAGATCAGGGATCAGAACCCCCAAACACTTCTGATATCTTTGGCTTCTAGTTGAACACCTTCGCAGAAGAATAAAAAGCTCCATTTTCAGGAACCTTTCTAGGCCCTTCCTTCCAGAGTCGCCTTGGCAGCAAGCTTCTCAGGAGGAGGCACGAGGCGGTCTGTGATAGTTAGGGTTGGTGCTCCACCTGGGTCGGTTAAGGCACCCTATAGGGAGGCTCACAGGCACCTGGAAGCTTCTGTGCACTGTGAAGGAGCCTGACCTCCAGACTGTCTTCACAGTTTCCACATGTCCGCCTCTCCCCTCCATTCCCAGGGCAATGTTTTCCGTCTCTTCTTCATGGGCCCTAAGTCAGACTAAGAATCGGTTTCATTTGAAGGTTTCTGAATAAAACCTCATCTGGGAAGTTTCCCCAAAAGAATCAGTTCAAGTGGAGGTATTGTACCTGGTCCTCATCAACCCTGACTCCCAACAGTCACTGGTTCTGGCCTCTGGTCATTTGAGGCTGAGCTCCCATGAGGCCGTAGGACTGGGTTTTCCTATAGCTTGACAACAGTACCAAGGAGAGATAGAGGAAAAAAGTGACCCTCCTCTCTCAAGTTCTCATCCAAAAAGGGTTTTCTTCTGTTGTGAGAGGGACTGGATTCTGCCACATCTAGGATTGCCAACTGGCTGCTGTGTAAAGCCTAAGTGAGTTCATCGCCTTAAACCTCAGGACTTTTCTATTTAAAAATAAGAGCGGTCATAATAAATAGACTGTTATAAATCTGAGGTCTCAAAGGAATGGCTGCAGCCCAGGCATCTAGCAGGCATTGACTCGCCTCTCCAGCTTGTTCTCTGGCTTTCAGAATAGAAGACTCCTCTCCACTCTGCTCTAGACAGGCACGATGGCACTTCCAAAGCAGATCAGACCCTCCACCCTATTTGTGACAAATTTGATTGATCTGGGAAATTAGACAAATGTAAAGTTATAATAATGCTGAGAATATGCATGCCTTACTAACTTTGGAAAAGAATTTCCAAATGAAAACAGAGAGGCAGGCAGTCGGGGCACACTTGTAATCCTAGTACTCAAGACAACTGAGTCAAAAAGATCAAGAGTTCAAGCCAGCCCACGATCCCTAGTGAGATCCTGTCTTAAATGAATTAACCAACTAACCAATTGACAAAGTATAAAAAGAGTCAGGCCTGATGGTTCAGGTGTAAAATCCCAGCTACTTGGGAAACTAAGGCAGGGTGGCAAGTTCAAAGCCTGTCTGGGATACAGAGGAAGTTCAAGGCTAGCCTGGGTAACTTAGTGCAATTTTCTTCAAGATAAAAAGTAAACAGAGAAATCGGGCAGTGGTGGCACACATCTTTAATCCCAGCACTCAGGAGGCAGAAGCAGATGGATCTCAGTGAGTTTGAGGCCAGCCTGGTCTACAGACTGAGTTCCAGGACAGCCAGGAATGTTATACAGAGAAGCCTTGTTTTGAAAAACAAAAAACAAAAACAAAAACCAACAAAAAAAAAAACCAACAAAAAAAAAGTAATAGAGGGATAGAATGGAAGAATACTTATCTATCATGTGTGAAGCACTAGGTTCAATTCCCAATACTACCAAAGGAAAAAGGAAAAGAAAGGGTCAAAGCCCAAAGAGGACTCCTACATGACACTAAATACTTAAATAAGGCATCAGAGGCCACCAAACCCTGGGAGAAGACCCAAGATACACGGCAGGAAGACATCTAACACTTCCATACCTCTCTTCTAGTCTCTAAGCAAACTTAAAACGTAAATTTATAAAAGCTGTAGGCAGGAGTTTGAAGAGAAAGCCCTTTGGTAGCTGTTCATTGCTTTATCAGAACGCTGGCAAGTGCCACTCACTTTCTAGAGCTCTGTGGAATTACATAAGGAGTGGCCACTAACTGCTGCCAAACACAACCTCTAAGCTATCGCAGTAAAGCAGCCTTTCGTGTCTGAATGCCTTTCTCTTCCAAACAAAAGGACCAGGTTCTTCTGTTGGTCTACAGAGCCTTCTTCTCCCCAGATCCACTACTGATGGCTTGACTGAACATCTACCCCAAGCAGACCACTGTCACTACTTCCCATTCAGACAGAAGTCCTGGAGTATGGGTACCGAGAAGACAGTCGGATGGATCCGTCTTCAGATGGTGACAGTCTACACCCAGAGTCTGTTTGCTGCTGAGTTCTGAAAGCCAGGGCTCAAGAGGTTTGTCTTAGTGACCAGCAGTCATGCCTCTGGTCTGAAGACATGAAGGTCGTCATCACTGCTCCAGAGCGTACCTTTGTGCTCATCCATGGCATCAAAATGTCCCATGTTTCCGTTACCATGCTCAGCAGGACCGCAGTGGTTTGGCATAGATTGGTTCCAGCACATGATGAGTAAGAAGCAAGAAGAGGCCTCCAAGAAAGACTGCACTGAGGAAAGCCAGCAGGACATAGCGGCCGATGAAAAAGGCATCCACAATCTGGAGAGAGAAAATACCAAAATGGAGTCACCGCCACTCCAGCACCCTGCCTGTGTTCCTGTGAGATCTGACGGCTGTGCCCAAGGCTTCTTGGTAACTCCCAGCAGCATCCTGCCCTGGGCTCCCTCTGCATATGAGTAAGAAAACTTTCAGCACCCTGAGTAGAAGTACAAGGTTTTTAAAAAAGGGGGTGGGGAGGGGGCAACAACTAATAATAATAATAATAAGGTACAGGAAACAAATGGCTCAATTTAGAAGAAAGGGTGGCTTTCAGAATGAGGAGACTTCAGCTCTCATCAGAAGAGTTCTGAGCCCTAATTGCAAGGGAGTGAGGAAAGTGGCCACTTATCTAAGACATTAAAACACTAAAAGGTACATAACTTGCCCCAGCATACAGCTGGTTGCTTGGTAACCAGTCTTACGTGAAGCTCTAACTCTACTGGTCTTTGTTGACAAAAACCTGTATCTGGTACTGGCTCTCCCCAGCTGCCTGCTGTCCATCTCCAGAGAACAGAGCCCTATTCTTTACCCCAGAGCTAAGCAGTGGTACTTAAGTGGGTGGGGAAAGCAGGTATCATAATCCAAATGAGGGCCTAACCTCACAGAAGCCCTGAGAACTCATTTCCGGGAGAGGTTCCCAAATAGCTGACAGTAACTGTCACAGCCAAATAATGGCCCAGGGATCCTAATCCCTAGAAACACACTGACTCATGACAGAACGGAGTTAAGGTTGTGACCTGAAAGAAGGGAGATTACCTTGGATTATCCAATCCAGGCAGGCCCAATGTAAACTGAGTCCTTACAAACTAAAGACACTTTGGAGGCAGAGGTAGGCAGATCTCCAATGAGTTCCAGACCAGCCAAGGCTATATAGTGAGACCTTGTCTCAAGAAACAAAACAAAATGAAAGAAGAGGCAGAAAACAGGTTTGGGAAAAGAAATGTGAGATGGATGCAGTCAGGGATGTAACCCACTGCCGGCTCTGAGGATGGCCATAGACGGAGGCCATGGGCCAGGCACTAGGAGCAGCCTCTAGAGCTAGAAGAGGTCAGGAAGTGGGCACTCCTCCAGAACCACTGGGAAGATGCATGGCCCTGCTCACCCTTGATTTTAACTCAAGGAGATTGACGATGGACTTCTAACCCACACAACTGTAGATAATAAATGTATGGCAGGAATTTGTTACAGCAGCAACAGAAAGCTAATACAATGTTGATGCACAAAGTTCCTGAACAATCTAAGCATTGGTATGAGTGAGATCCAAAGACACCAAGAAGAAGGCTGCAGCCACCCCAGCTGCTCCAGAGACTACCCCAACAGTCAACTTACAATCAAGGTCAGTTTGATAAAACAGCTTTAACGTAACGTTGACCTTGGCTCTGGTACCGAACAAGTCTCTTGCGGGCTACATGTTTGCTCGCTCGACTGTTTCACTTTTTAATTAGCCAATTAGCAGGCCTTGGGTGCAGAAGGCCCAGGCCATGTATTATTGATACAGTATTGAGCCAGGCTGCTGCAGGGGCCAGCTCTCAGAACCTGAAAATGAGAACTCTGATTCTGCTGGCCATGCTGACAAACATATTTTGCTCAATCCCTGTTGTCTCCTGAGTCCGAAACTTCTATGACAGACTAGAAGGATTGATTTAGAAGTGGTGCTTGTTCTGTGCCTTTTGTAGCAGTCACATTTGCAGTAATTAAAAATATGGCAGTACACATCATTCTTTTCTCCCAAAAACAAAGACACTGGGGTGGGCCAGATATAGAGAGAGCCTGTCACAAGGGAATAACTCCTGGAATCTGTGTGGTAAGCACAATTTCCCTTAGAGTTTCCAGAACTGTTTTTCTTCCTCTTACCATCATTAATCCTAAGTAGAGCTGGAAGTATGTGCTCATTTTATGTCAAAAATTATGTAATTTTGTGGGCCATATCAAATTGGCAATCTGTCAGATCTGGAGAATATTCTGTTGAGTTCCGACAAGTTTGAAGATTTTGAGGACAGAGCTCAGCTTAAGTCCCTGCTCTGCTTCTTCCTGGACAGTGTCAACTCAAGCAGGTCACCTGAACCTCTTACCTAGAAAAACAACAGGGCCTACTTCACACGACATGCAGTGTTGTGTGGTTTCAATGAGACAATGTAAACAAGGTGTCGAGCACAGGTCTTGGCATACGGTAGTCTTCTAAGAAATGTTAGCCACATCATTGTTTCGCCTTCAAAATTAAAGTAGCTAGTGAGAGGAAACAGAACGCCACAAGAAGATGTAATAGGACAGAAGAGGTCAGCACCCTTAGCAAGAGCCTAGGGGTTTGAGACCAGCCACACATGACAGAACCTGAGCCCCACATCAGGAATGAACCGGAACAGGTGAGCTGAAATGGGACAATGTGACACAAACCGACTTACAGAAGTAGGGGCTAGCCGGTGTGGTCTAAGGAGTAAAGATAACAGAGTCATTGGTACAGAACTCTCTGCAACGCCCCCTTCGGCTTCTCATGGAAAGGCTCCTCTTCCCCACTACTCTTGACAGAAATGATTCTTTTGACACCACAAGTGGAGAAAGTCAACCTCAGAGGATGGAAAATCATGTCACTCAGCACCCTGAGAACACGACATCAATTCTGACCCAGGGTCTGAGATTCTGAACCAAGGCTACCCGGAATGGGGAACACCACACTTAAGGCCTATGCCAGGTCCTAGTTGCTGACTCTTTTGTCTTTCTGTCTCCACGGTGAGGAGTGGTTTTCCACACTGCCATTCATCTTGACGCAGGCAGCAGATGATAGCACACCAGGTCAATCACTGCCTGGTGCTGTGCAGGAGGGATTCACAGACCCTTCCCAGGGGAAAGGGACAGAGGCCTTGCAACTCTCCGGGAGCACCGTCATTGTTTGGACAGGTCGCAGGGCAGGATGGAGGAAGCTGAGATTGGGCCAAGAATGAAACCCAGTAGGTTTACCTTCGTTTCCATCTCTGGGGCTGGGAATTCACTGGCTCGAGGGAAAAGCAGAAGAATTGTAGTGATTATCAGAGCACCAAGGAAGACAAAGACAATGGAGAACCTGGAAGCAAAGAGACTGAGTATCAAAGGCACTGCTGACCATCTACTTCTAATCAGCGGGGCCTGTGCGGGCTCCTCCCTGGGGTCAGCAGTCTATGTTGAGGTCCACAAAGTCCTCCACTCCCAAGCCTTGCTTCCTAAGACAGGTACCAGCTGAGTACATCCCTATTTATTCCTGGTAATTCCCAATTCCTAACAACGGGAATTCAGAGTTTTCTGCACAAAGTGTGTTTATGAGAACACATACACACACACACACACACACACACACACACACACACACACACCTCCCTCATCTCCACACACTTTCGCTCTTTTCAGACCAGAACACTTCAGTAAATACTGTAGCTCTCCATTTATTACTGACAGGGCCCTCCCAGAGAGTGTATCTCAAGTGTCTCTGGGGCTAGGTTATAGCCTGATACAGAGGGCCAGGCCAACTCACTATAACTTCAGTGTCCGTGGGCCCGGGCTAGATAGAGCCTTAGGGACCGGACCAAGCACGTGTCATAAATCTGAACAATTAGACAAAACTTCCATCTACAACTCCCAAGGAACACAAGAGCAGCCAAAGCAGATTTGCTTGTCATCTCTGGTCTCCCTCATCCCTCCACAGTGAGAGCTGAGACACACTTCCGCTCTCTTCCCACCTCTGCCTGAGCATAAATAACACAGTTAGTGCTTATGATAAGAGGTTAAAATGCAACTCATTCAAACTGCCAGTAATTACAAAAATGATCTTCTGAATTCTAAATGTTTAATGAGCATCAGCGATTTTTGCCTCTAATTGCTTTTACCTAGGACTCCAGGCTGGAAAGAACGCCTTACCTAGCTATCCCAGAGGCTCTGGATAACAGCACACACAGCAGCAGCACCAACACCCAGATCAGAGCGAGGAGGAACACGCCAGCACCCACTCCCAGCACCATGCCAGCCATCCTAGGGGACAGAGAGCAGCATCAGCCTCTGGCTGGACCACCCCTCCCCCGTCATGTGCACCTAGTATTCAGACAACACAGAAAGCCTGAACTCAATATGAGCAGTCCTGATGACCACTTTGTCTGGAGGCTCACTCATGATGGGTCTTTAATTTTCAGGGATGTCCAGCCCCAGAGTCCCTTAATGAAAACTGAGAATGTTGAACCCAGAGTTTTCTTTGTGTAGGAATAGGGGTGGGGGATGCAGGGGCTGGGATGAAGCTGCTTTCTGGTCTCACGTTGTCATTTCAATTTGGTCTCTTCGGCTCTGCTTTGACTCCCACCTGAGCCCACATTAGAAATCGGAGCTCTCTCTGTCCACATCCTAACCAAGGCTCTCGGATGACTGCAGAGCCAACGCAGAAGCCGAAACTTTACTTAAATCTGAGGTATGAACTCAATCTCAGCAGGCCATCACAAGGCAGAAATTTCCACTCTGTCGTCAAGTTCTTGTTCACAGAAGGAAGAAAACTCCCAGTCCCTAGACGAAGATGCCACCCTTTGGGGCACTTACAGAATGCTAAGTGCTTTACTAGACCTGGCGTGTTTAGTCATGGCAATCAGAAACGTACTATTACATCTGAGTTACACAAGAGGCAAGTTAGTGTCGGTTTTCTAACTGAGGCTCACAACAAGAGGAATTTCTTCTCAGTTCTTGAGACCATAAGTCTATGATAGAGGTGCCCATGGGGCAACACACAGGATCTAAAACAAGATGCTTTCTTGGGTCTTCTGGTGGCTCCAGGATTTCCCTGGCTACAAGGTTCCTGTAACTGCCATCAACTCTACATGACACATCCCCTCTGTCTTCTGTCTGCCCATTATCACTAGACAAGGCCCTTAATCACACATGCAAAGATCCTTCTGCCAAATAAAATCACATTTACAGATGCTGGAAGTTAGGTGTGGACATCTTTTGGCGGACACTATTCACTCCGCTAATGAGGTGACACCATTCTGGAGCACCTCCCTTTTCAGTATCAGAGACCCAGCTTCAGAAAAGATTCGTCCTTAGGTTTCTGGACTTCTTTACCTTATGATTTGAATACAATGGAAATAGACTGAGGTGTTCCGTTGTAAGCTTACTGGAAAAGAGACTCTAAGCATGAACTGGAAAAAAAAAAGAAAAAAAAAGTTTATTTAATCAACACCCACATGGAAAACATTGTGCTCCTAATCAGGATGACAAAGGAAAAAAGATACATATCCCAGCAAAAGCTACAGTAACTCTCCAAAAGAGTTAGTCTCTCTCCGACTAGTTCTTTCCGCCCACTCTTCCCCAATGGTAGGTAATGACATTTGTTTACAAGTTCACTTTGTCTCTCTTATTAAGATAATAAACCCCCGAGGACAGAAACTGTTTTCCCCACCTGCTATCCCCAGTTCTCAGCAAGAAGATTGTGTGCAACAAATATTTGCTGATGAACAAGTGAAGCCAGACCGCAAAATGCAAGTGAAGGGGTGATGAGGTCACAGCAAGGTGTAGAAAGACGATGGAGACTACTGGTTAATACGCTGCACAGGCCAACAAGGGGAGCGCCTCACAGAACAGAGGAACTGATTAGCAATGGAAATTTTAAAATGTTAATATGTAACATTCTAAGGGGCTCTGAATCTAATGTACACCCAAAGCCTGATGGGTAAGGAGGAACTGGGCTCCAAGTCCACAATGGCCCTGACTGGAGATGGAGGCCTAGGAGGGCTCCTCCAGTGAGACTCCAGCCTATGGTACATAGAATTAGGACCAAGGAGAGGACTGGGTATAACGTTGGGCCCTTCGAGGGCCCAGTAGTGTTTGAATGGACTTCAAAAAAATCTACTAAGAACTTAGGTGAAAAAAGCAGGCCAATGACTCAGGCTATGGCAAAAAAAGAAAGAAAGAAAGAAAGAAAGAAAGAAAGGAAGGAAGGAAGGAAGGAAGGAAGGAAGGAAGGAAGGAAGGAAGGAGAAAAAAAAGAAAGAAAGAAAGGAAGGAAGGAAGGAAGGAAGAAAGAAAGAGAAAGAAAGAAAGAGAAAGAAAGAAAGAAAGAAAGAAAGAAAGAAAGAAAGAAAGAAAGAAAGAAAAGAAAAGAAAAGAAAAAAGAAAAGAAAAGAAAAGAAAAGAAAAGAAAAGAAAAGAAAAGAAAAGAAAAGAAAAGAAAAGAAAAGAAAAGAAAAGAAAAAAAGGCCAACTGGAGAGAAATCTGAATCCTAAGCCTGCATTACCTACAAGCACAGAGTTAGGGTCCCACTATCAGGCTGTATGGGATCCTAAGAGAAAGATTAACTACAATGAACTGTTGTGGAATCACCTTTTTGTACACTGTGAAGATGTGTCACTCTGACTGGTTGAATAAAAAGCTAAATGGCCAATAGCTAGGCAGGATTTCTGGACAGTGAGGATGCTGGGAAGAAGGTGGAGACACCGGGAGACAAAGAACAAGTAGGACGGGCAGTACGAAGATGAGGTAATAAAGCCATGAGACAGAAAGTAAATTAATAGAAATGGGTTAAGTTATAAGAGCTAGTTAGAAACAAGCCTAAGCTAAGGCCGAGCCTTCATAATTAGTATATGCCTCCATGTTTTTTTTTTGTTTTGTTTTGTTTGTTTGTTTTTTTTTGTTTGTTTGTTTGTTTTTTTCTTGTTAGCTGGCAACCCAAAGAAAAATACAATAAATACAATAACTAAATAAATAGCTACAACAAACAACTACAAAAAAAATAAATAAATAACTACAATTAACTACAGAAACTACAATAAACGTGAGAAATCTACAGGATCCCCAACAGACTAAAGTCGCTGTTGGGGATACCACTCGGCACGCATGCAAGGCTCCTTCGAGAGTTAACTATGAGGGAGCTGGGGAAATGGTTAAGTTGGCAAGGGGCCTGCTGAACAAGCATGAGGCCCCAAGTTCCAATCTCCAGCACTCACATAAAGGCAGGGGTGTCCATCTGTGATCCCAGCACTAGGATATGGGGAAAGGAGGGCCTTGGCGCTCACTGGCTAGCTAATCTAGCCAGTTGGCGGACTTCAGGTTCAGTGGGAAATCCTATCTGAAAAGTAAGGTGGGAAAGCAATCAAAGAAGACGCATGGCATTGACCTCCGGCTTCTACCACACACTTGCATATAGACCTGCACACATACATGCACACACCCACACAAACATACACCCAACCAGCACACAAAGCTTTGAAATAAGAAATGAATATGAAATAGGCTGGGGGATATAGATCAATGGTAGAGCACACACCTATCACAAACGAGGCCCTGGGTGCAGCCCTCTGTACCACACGGAATATAAGATTTTTATTTATTATGCAGCAATAATCACGGAGTCATAGTAAATGTAAGCACCCCAGACTTGACTGTTGAAAGATTCTCATTCTGGATTTAAAAAAAACAAAAGCAGCTTTGTACAAAAGTGACAGAAAATGCAAATGAGAGGATGAAAACTTAAATTTGAAAAAGGCATACGAGGCAGATACTAGCAAAGCAGATACGGGAAAAGGAGGAAATGGGGGTAATGACAACAAACACAGAGTTCTAGTCTTGCAGGATGAAAGTTCTGGAGATCTGCCTCCCAGTAATGTAAACACTGAGCACTACCGAACTGCACGCTTCAAACTGTTAGGATGGGCAACTTCATCTTGTGTGGCTTGCCACAAGTGGGTAAAACAAAATAAAATGGAAGTTAGTAGAGCAATAAGCAATGTAATAAAATGTAAGTTCATAATAAGAAAATATATGTAAAATACATGAAAACATCAGTAAGAACAGTTTTGAAAGGAATAACTTAGCCAAAAGATGTAACCTGAAGGAAATATGAACCTAACACAAAGCCTCAAAATGTACAGTCAAAATAGACAAAAGCATCATAATAAATGGCAAACCCAAATTAATGGATTTTACTATTATTTCAGAAATAAATTTCAGAAAAAATGAGAATAAACTTCACACAGAGGATAGCTGAATGGCTAATATATGTAAATGTCCTTACCTCACTAGCCACTGGAAAATGCAGATAAAAATCAAATGAAGTATCTCTCTATACATCTACCAGATAGCCAAAAGGTCAATGGCAGTCTATAAAGACATAGAGCATACATGCACACATGCATGCATAGATGCACACAATCGATCATACAAATGACAGCATAAAGCAATACAAATGAATAAATTACAATCACATCCAACAACATAGGTGAGTTTCACAAGCATTAAGTGAAGGACAGAGTAAAAAGTTCATTGTAGATTCCAATTATATGATGTTCGAAAACAGGTCCAACTGCTCCAGAGTACCCTGACTGATTGGATGAGGCATGGATAATAAAATTGGTTTTTGACCTAGGTGTTGGTTACCTGGCTTTGTAACTTTGATAATCAGTATCTAGCTACAGATACTTGAGGTTTGTGCTGTTTTCTATTGTGTTACACAAGCCTTTTGTGAAATGACTCAACAGTCATTGGATAGTTAATGAAATCAAGAATGTTACCTTTTTTATGTAAAATAATTTTTTAAAGGTGTAATTCCCTTTAAAGTAAAAAAAAAAAAAAAGGTATAGATTCTTTATGACGCACGAATCTACATAGACACGCACAACACATTACAGACAGTGAACACTGTACCTGGGCATTTCATGTTATTTGGGGAGTAGGGGTAGGGATGAGGAGCTGATGTGAATCAGACTGGTCATGAGCTAGCTCTTGAAGCTGGGTGACAGATGAGCAGATGTCAGCTTCACAATTTTCTAAAGATCTGATTCAAAGTTCAAACTTGCACAGTAAAAACATGTATGCATATGCACACGTGTATAAGTATAATTAAATGCAACAAATATTTGTAAGATCTTTGTAGCTAAAATTATGCACCTTCATGAAAAGGCCCTTTAAAAGTACCTAGAAAGTGGGATAGAGCAGGCTGTGTAGAGAAGTAACTTATGCTTTTAGATGAGTTGGCTTAACTTTAAAAAAAAAAAAATCTCAATTTTTCTTAACCTAAAAATTCAGTGCAATTCTAACCAAAATCCAAAAATACTTTTTTTTTTTAAGGAACTGAAAAATGAATCCTGAATTCAGACAGGAGAGTAAAGAGCCAAGAATAGCCATCAGCACTCTGGGAACTAGGGATGGCAGCACGCCCTTCTTGTCACCAACTGCCACAGACGCATTATGAAACCAAGGTAGTTAAAACAGCGGGACAAAGACACATGGACCACTAGCACGAAACTGGAAGCCCAGACACAGATCTGTGCATTCGTGAGGACCTCATCCTCCCTAGGAAGAAGATGGCTTCGTGGCCCGGTGAGTCAAGGGCTCCCCAGTGGTGGTGACACAAATGATTATCTAACCAGACAACAATAAAACTCGACCTCTACTCTGTAGCACGTACAGAAGTCGATTTTTAGTGGAAGTAATTCATCCTGAAAGAGCATATGTTTAAATATATGAGTGTGCAGGCTGACTACATGAGAATACATAATGAAGTACAGTAGCCAGATGCTCGCACCTAAACTTAGCATCGGCGTGCATGCGTGCGTGCGGAAGCGCCACGTGCAGACTATGCAGGTGTGCCGTGCTGGCAACCCAAATACCACGAGCTGTGCTGCCCTTCAGTTACGTGAGTTTTCTAGACGGAGGAGCCGGGCTTGTTCATGTTCCAAACCCCAAATCAGTGTAAATTTCCCTTGATCTACATTCCTGGAAATTACACTTCATTAAACTGTGCCAGAAATGTATGTGAACACAAAAAAAACGTAGTTAGGTTCTAGACCCAGATAATTATTAAATGAGAACACTGGAAAGTTGCACAAGATACAGGGCAATTCTTTATCTGAGGACTGTCCCAACACTGCACACCCAACATCCTCAGCTTTCTGGTCTATTCCAACCATAATAATAACTAAATATGGCCTCACAAATTCTCAAATGTTTCTCAGAGACATGCACCTCCCTTGAAAAGTTCAAACAAAATTCTAGAAACTCTCATATAAGGAGACACATATGAAGACATTCTGTGTAATTTCAATAGCAAAATAGGTGGGAAAAAGCCACACCCCTGTCAGATGGGTTTATTATATTCTCACAATGAACACTTCAATGAAAGTACCTGATCTATATACACTGACATGAATGTATCTCAAAAGCAGTGCTGAGCGACAAAAAGCAAGTTACAACCCAGGAATAGTGGCCTGTGTCTGTGATACCAGCACTTGGGGGAACTGAGGCAGAAGGATCCAGACCAGTGAGGCCCTAAAACAAACACAGACACAAATGCACACATACAAATACATAAGTAAGTTCAAAAGTAAGAACAGCTGTTCTTTCTTTTTCCTCTCCCGGGGACAGTGTCAAAATGTTCCAGCATTTAAAATACCATCACAGGCTTTCCTATGACACAGTCTCTTACAAAACTAGGCTGTCTCGGACCCCTGGCAACAGGCTTGTTCACCTTTACACCTAGAAGGTTGGGAAAGCACTACCTCCGAATGCAGTGTGAGGGGGTTCCTGCTGTGAGACCTCAAGCCCATACGAGATCGTCTAAAACACGGAAGCATGTCAGCAGGGCCGACGGCGGTTCCAGGTGTGCTAAGCGTGTCCGTGACAAGATCAAGTGTGCTTCCTTACTGAGGAGCAGAAAAATGGTTGTAAAAGTGTTGAAGGCATAAACACAGAGTCCAAAGCTCTCAGGGAAAAAAGTAAATAAATCAACGTAAGCTGTAAACTGAAATCCAAAGCATACAGTTTATATTTTAAACATAAAAGAATAATCTTCAGCCGGGCGTGGTAGCGCATGCCTTTAATCCCAGCACTTGTGAGGCAGAGGCATATACATTAAAAGCATAGCAGCGTGGGTATTGGGCTGGGGAGACGGTTCAGTCAGTAAAGTGCTTGCCCTGGAAGCTGGAGGAGTTGAGTTGGATCACTGAACCATGTGAAAAATGCTTGTAATTCCAGCACTGGGAAGGCAGAGACAGCAGAGTCTGCTGGCCAGCCAGGCTAGCCTAGTTAAACTCTAGGCCAATAAGAGACATGGTCTCAAACGACAGAGTTCTTTTTCTTTTCCTTTTTTTCTTTTTTGGTTTTTTCGAGACAGGGTTTCTCTGTGTAGTTTGGGTGCCTGTCCTGGATCTCGCTCTGTAGCCCAGGCTGGCCTCGAACTCACAGAGATCCGCCTGGCTCTGCCTCCCAAGTGCTGGGATTAAAGGCGTGCACCACCATCACCCGGCAATGACGGAGTTCTTGAGGATAACTCCTGAGGTTATTCCACAGGGGCACACATGCAGGTGCACCAACCCCAAACACGCATGTTAAAAAACAACAACAAACAAAAGTGAGTACAAATTAGACACAGTAATTCTGGTGTCTCTGGGAGGGAGGAGGGAAGAAGAAGGACCAGCAAAGAGAATAGAAGGGATTTTTAACTGTAATGCTTCGTTTCTTTAAAATAAAAACCATGAGCAGAAAGCCAGAATGCTAATATTTACTAATCCGGCTGGTAGGCACAACTCTTTTTTATTATGTTACCCAAACCAGAGATTTCAAGAGTCCCCAATTTTTAAATATTTGGGAGACTCCTTTTATTATTTTTTATTGTTTATTTTATCATTTTATGTGCATTGGTGTTTTGCCTAAATATATGTCTGTGTGAAAATTTGGATCCCCTGGAACTGGAGTTACAGACAGTTGTGAGCTGCCATGTGCGTGCTAGGAATTGAACCCAGGTCCTCTGGAAGAGCAGTCAGTGTACTCAACCACTGAGCCATCTGTCCAGCCCTAAGAAATTAAGAAAAGACTCCTTATGAGACTTCTTAATTTTTAAAAGGTAACTGATAGCTTGGTCTAGTGGCTTCAGGCCTATAATCCCAGCTACCTGAGTGGCTGAGGCATAAGAATTTCCAGTTCAAGGCCCACCTGGGCAACTTGGTAGGACTGTTTGAAAACAAAGTTACCAGAAAAGGGAAAAAAAGAAAAGAAAAGAAAAAGGAGGAGGGGTTAGAGAGTTACTCAGTGGCAGAGCTCTTAGAACCAATCTCTACCATATCAGGGTGGACATGTCCCGATACGAACACTTATCTAGCCCGGCAGTAGTGGTGCACGCCTTTAACCCCAGCACTTGGGAAGCAGAGGCAGGCAGATCTCTGTGAGTTCGAGGCCAGCCTGGTCTACAGAGTGAGTTCCAGGACAGCCAGGGCTACACTGAGAAACCCTGTCTTGAAAAGACAAAACAAAACAAAAGAAGAACACTTGTCTTAGCTGTGGAAATGGAAAGGGGTCAAAAGGGATATTAGAAATGACTAGTGTGACTGACTGAGCTGATGGGACTGCCTTGGAGGAAATGTGTCTTCAGGATTAGCTGCGATATTCTGGACACCATACGATAACCTGGAAGACGTGAACAAACTCATCACCTAGAAGGCAGGGTAAATGACAGTTGGAAGCGGGTAACATCGGAAGCACTGAACTTCTCTCCCCACAAATGATGACCAGCTCAGGTGACATTGAGTTACCCCTATGGTATAACTTTTAAGTGACGGCATAAGCAACTTGAAGCCCTTCTAAAATGAGGGTCATTAGTTCATAACCAAATGATACGTTCTCTTGGGGTTCTTTTAGATTTTTTTTTTATTGATGTGTTTGTGTTTGCGTGTGATATTTGTGCAGGTGTGAACCCAGGGTCTCATGCATGCTTGTGTATGTGTGTGTTAGTGTGTGTATGTGTGTGTGTGTGATATGTTTGTACAGGCGTCTATGGGGGCTGAAGAGGGCATCAGATTCCCTGAAACTGGAGTTACAGGCGCTTTTAAACCTGGGAACTGGACTCCACTCTCTGGAAGAGCAGTAAGTGCTCTTAGCAGCTGAATCATCTCTCCAGCCCCAGTGACCTTCTCACCCTCCTGCATCTATCTCCCCAGTGACCTTCTCACCCTCCTGCATCTATCTCCCCAGTGACCTTCTGACCCTCCTGCATCCAGCTCCCCAGTGACCTTCTGAGCCTCCTGCATCCACCCCCAGTGACCTTCTGATCCTCCTGCATCCACCCCCAGTGACCTTCTGAGCCTCCTGCATCCAGCTCCCCAGTGACCTTCTGACCCTCCTGCATTCATCTCCCCAGTGCTGAGACTACAGAGTGTGTGGACCACTCTGTTCACAAGGTGCTGTGGACAGAACCCAGGGCCTCGTATCTGCTAGGTGAGACTGTACCTTCTGAGCTACATCCCCAAGCCTCTGGGATGGCCAAATTATTTGTTAGTGAGATTTGATTAAAACAAAAAGTGTTTATTTACTCAAGATTCAGGATATTATTCAAATGCTCTGAGAGCTGATGGCTTAGCCAACACAATCTTAGGAGTGAATTCATTGAACCGGGTAACCTAGAGTAGGAAAAACCGTACATTTAAACAAGTCAAGGTCAGGTGTTTTGTTGTTTTTTCCCCCTGTGATGGAGGTGTGAGGTTTTTCATTGTTAAGTTTCTCCAGACCCTGCATATATATGTGTGTCCTGCAGTCTTCCTTCATCTAAGGTTGGTTCTACATGCCCTTTCACCCAGTTCCCAGGGAAAACTGAAAGTCCTGCATCCAGGGCTCATTGGATGAAATCTACAGTGCTCACCACCAGGCTGAAGATCTTAAGGGAGAAAACTAAGATCTATCACAGGACAACTTCCTGTCCAGGGCAGATGGAGAATCCAGAGACGGTAGTGTGGCTTAAGGCTGCTGGTGGGTGACACCTTGCCCACACCCCAGTGTTCAGAACCAAGTCCTTGAAAGCAATAGAAAATGACAGGTTACATTTTGTTTTTGTTGTTGTTTTGAGATAGGTGGTGTGTGTGTGTGTGTGTGTGTGTGTGTGTGTGTGTGTGTGTGTGTGTGAGTGAGTGACAGCCCTGGCTGTTCTGGAACTCGATTTGTAGACCTGGCTGGCCTTGAACTCACAGAGACCCGCCTGCCCCTGACTCCAGAGTGCTGAGACTAAAGGTGTGCGCCACTACACCCGGCTCCTTTTAAAAATTTTCTTGAGCCGGGCGGTGGTGGCGCGCGCCTTTAATCCCAGCACTCGGGAGGCAGAGCCAGGTGGATCTCTGTGAGTTCGAGGCCAGCCTGGACTATGAAGTGAGTCCCAGGAAAGGCGCAA